CTGCGGAAGCCTGAGCGGGGCCGGCTTTCCGGTGAACTCGGTGGGGGCGCGCAGAGGCCTGTCTGCCCGCCCTTCCCGGCCCTGCGTCCTTCTCCTGCCGGTGCTTTATGAGGGTACTCCGGTGGGTTGCGAGCCCCCTGGCAAACACTGGGGTGCTCCCGCACCGCATTTGTGAACTGGGGGCCTTCACCTGCCTAAAGCAAATAACGCACAGGAGGTGTGCAACCGGTGGGCAGTAGGAGTCTGTAGGAAGTACAGCAGGGAATGAAAAAGGGGGAAGACATACACTTTGGAGGGGGTCAGAAACACAGATGCCTTGCAGAGGAAAAGCCAGAGTCCAGTCTAATGAAGTGTGTGAGGAATTAGATGCTAAACACGCTTTCTCGATCTATAGATAGCTGCATCGTGTGAGACAATATGAGAAGTATTTCCAAAAGTACTCAGGCCCGAAGTTAAAGTGTGACCGGTTGTTGCTTTGTGAAGGAAACAGTGCAGAGGACAATAGTCTGCAAGTAGCTTTCTCTTTCTGAACCCTTTGCTTTATGTTTAAGTCTTGTTTTAATCAAGGAGAAGTAGGAATTTCATTTCAAAGGGTTTTTAAAAAAGTAGAAATGGTGTGTTGAGTCAGAGTGAGATTGCTTCCTCCTGATAGATCAGGTAAATGCAGGCACTTGTTAAAAAATAATCTTTCATTTGGAGAGGTGGCAGAAAACAGCTGGAAGGAGCGCTGCGGGGTGGGCTGCTGAGCCTGCCTTCCATGCTGAAGGGCCACGTCGGCTCCTTCGGTTGTTACTGGCATGCATGTGTCTAACCTGGTTTTAAAAAACATACCTGATAACGGAGGTTCTACAAACTTGTTAGGTGACGTGAGTAACAGTCTTATTGGCAGAAAACTTTTCTTATCATCTAACCTCAATCTTTGAAGCTGCCGATAAAGCTTGGTCCTCTTTGTATCTGACACGAAGATTAGATCATTCTCTTTCTGCTGGCAGCTGCCCTGTACATGTATGAACTCTGTACCCTTCCCAGATTTCCACAGGCTAGCCAGTTCCAGACCTCCACCCAACCTTCGTACATCCCGATTGTTAGACCTCTTGGTTCTTACTGCTCAGTTCTGAGTGTCCTGGTGTGCTCATAACTCTTAAAATGTGGTGCCTGGCGCTGGACACAGCAGTCTGGCTCAGGTGTGTCCGTGCCAAGCAGAGGGAAGGATTGCCTCATAGATCCGCCAAGACGTGCTCTCGCTTACATGGCTCAGTGTGACATTTGGGTTCTCTGCCTCCCACTGCAGCCATGTGATATGATCTATCATGTTTCGTCTTAGTCCACTGTACTACTCAGATTCCTTTCTATATTTGTACATTTTAGTTTTGACCTGCACAGTCTCTTCTTAGATTTGTCAGGATCTTTTGAAAGCCCGTTTCAGCCCTCCAGTAGTCTTTCTGGCTTTGCTGTGTCTTAGTTTTAAAAAGGTTATCAATCTGTACAGCAGAGGAAAGATTAAAAGCGGTGAATTGTGTATCCTCTTCAAACCCTGTCAGTTGTGGCCTTTCAGTCTGACAGCGCAACGGTCTATAACCGTTTTTCAGACCGAGCTCCCCAGGTAACTGTGAACCCCTCTTTCAGTTAAGTCAGTTAAACAGAATTTGTGTAGCTGTTTGTACGAATGTTCAACTCCTGACAGCGTCGGGAGTCTTGCTGCGAAACGTATCTTCCCTTTGCCATGACACCCGTTTCCTTGGCATGAAGAAATTTAGGATGTTTTGACAGGATCTTTTTCCAGCCCCTTGGGGAAGGGGGAAGTGACTTGCTAGAATGCAGTCAGCAAACTTGCGATGAAGCTGGAAGTAAATCCTAGATTCTCTTGAGTTCCTCTCTAATATGTTTTCCTCTAAGAAGGATCATCTTTTACAAACAGTGTACCTTTTTGATTACAAATTCTGAACTATTTTACATCATGTTTAATACAAACTTGCGTCTGATCTTTGAATTTTAATACTGAATATTTTAAACCAGCATTCCAGACGTGGCCTTTGGTCCTGTTCTTTTGGTTTCCAACTAAATAACATGTTCACTTTTGAAACAGAGAATCCGAAACTGACTATAATCTTGTTTTGCAGCTGGAATTATCTCTCTTTTGGATGAAGAAGAGCCACAGCTCAAGGTAAACCCTTACATCTGGGAGCAAATAACAGTAAACACATTATGTTGAGAGCTTAAAATCAGAAATGAGTGTATCTCAATTGTTGGACAGCAGCAGGTGGGCCCCAAATCATATCTAGTGTGAGAGCTGAAAGGATGGGCTTTATTGATGTGATAGCAGATGGCAAACTCCCTTGTTTTGAACAAGGATCAAACTGGAGCTTCATGTGCAAGATCTGTAGTCGCCAGAGCTACCAGCTCTCTGATGATAATGGGGCCTTGTTACTTAACAGTCTTTCGACTGCAATTTGAGTGTGTAAAACTCAGAGCTGAAGAATGTGTTTGTTTTTTAGCATAACTGAAGGATGTAAAACAAAATCACAGTTACGGTTTTCACTTGGGGGAAAAAAATACTAGTAGTAGGAGAAGAAAACAGCAACAGAAACTTTACAGTCCACAGAGTATGTGAATCCACAGGACAGCACCAAACACTTGGAGGTGGTGGTGCATCGATGATACTTGCTAGTTACTTTAACAGTTGACATAGCTCCTTTCAGGAGGGGTGGGTGCATCTTAGAATGGTAATCTCGTAAATATTTTGCTTGGAAGCAGGCACAGGGTGGTGATAGGTCTGAAGGAGCCCTGCTTTTGCTCTGAGCTGATGACAGTCAAGCTGATTGTAATCTGGATATTATCTGCTGAAGTACTGTGTCCGAATAAATAGAGTTGGCTGGCATAGGCCACAGTCCTGTGTGCTCCACAAAGCTCGTCGCAAAGACTTGGAAACTTTGTATTTTAAAGAGTTTCACCTACTGGTCTTTTTAGCCAGTCACTCATCACAGAGAGGCCGTGGGAAGGAACGTGAGGGTTGTCTTACCCGTTAAATGAACAGCCCTTTATTTGCAAAAGACTTGCAAGGATTAGCGAATGCTTGGGAAAATCTTTTAAAGTGGAATTTGCTGTTGAAATGGGTTGGTGTTGATGATATCAATCTTAGGATGGTACTTAATTTTTATTGGGGAAAGGCAATAAATGCATTTTTTTAATGTAATATAACTTTTTATTATTTTTGTAGGAGTTTGCTCTTCACAAGTTGAATGCTGTTGTCAATGACTTCTGGGCAGAAATCTCTGAGTCTGTGGACAAAATGTAAGAGAAGGTGCTTGTTACTTCAGGGTGTGTTGCTTAAAAAGAACATGAGATATGAAGTGAATGTAGTTCTGGTTACTTGATACTGACTCATACAGCATCTAGCCCCATGTTTTCTGGAAAAGTATAAGTGGACGTGGGGTTGGAGCCCTAGTCCCAAAGATGCACGTTCAGTCAAACTGTTATGTGTCCTTAGAGACAACTGAGCATGCAGAGCTGATGCTCTTCTCTCTCTCCTTTGCAGTGAAGTTCTCTATGAAGACGAGGGCTTTCGGAGCCGGCAGTTTGCTGCTCTAGTTGCTTCTAAAGTTTTTTACCACCTGGGAGCTTTTGAGGAATCGCTGAACTATGCCCTGGGAGCAGGTGACCTCTTCAATGTCAATGACAACTCGGAATATGTGGAGACGATCATTGGTAAACAACTGTTGCTGCAAAAGAAAAGCTCTTGTCTTGTCAAAGCTACTGTAACTTGGAGATTTTACTTGATTTAGCTGCTTTTCTCCCTCTTCCTCTTCCTCTTCTTGTATTCATTTAAACTGATGCTGCAGCTAGTTTTACCCAGTTGATTTGTGCTTTCTTTTTCCTGCTTCGGGATTCTGTAATGGAACTGTCTTAGGAATTTTTCTTGTTCTAAACCTTTATTGTATTGCAATTTCCTAATAAGAAAATTGCTTTGGTTTTTTGGTTGTCCTTTCTCTCGTTTTTGGGCTAATGTTACTAATTTCAGCATAACTTTGGAAATGATCAACTAATAACCCTAACTGAGGGGTACAGGTTTTTATCTACCCTTACCGAGATAGCAGGTCAGATGTTGAATGCATGTATAATTTGAATCTCTCTTAAAACTCTCGTCTGCTGGTATCACTTACCTTGTACATGATATGGTGGAGCAGGGCTGGCTTTGTCTCCCCAGCTAGTGCTTATGGTGGAGCTAGGAAGTCTCCTACTGCTGTTTCCTCATTAATTTAAAATATTGTGCCGCTTGAACAAAGACCATGTCCTCGGTGCCATTTTAAAAATATCTAGTTGGTTTTTCAGCACTACAGTCAGAGTCTGTTGGGAAGGAATATACGCATCTCTCACTGCTGTCTGTGTATGACTACACAGATAGTTCTTGTGCCTCACCTTCATGTCAGTTCCCATATGCTGTATTTGCTGGCAGAATGTGTGCATGCACCTACTAGTCTCTAACAAACTGCAAACATCTAGGAAGTTGATTTTCCCCCCCCTATATTTCTTCAATATATTTTCAGCAAAATGTATCGACCACTATACCAAGCAGTGTGTGGAGAATGCAGAGCTGCCGGAAGACTAGTCTCCACCAAACTGCTAACATCTAGGAAGTTGATTTTTTCCCAACCGTATATTTCTTCAATATTTTTTCAGCAAAATGTATCGACCACTATACCAAGCAGTGTGTGGAGAATGCAGAGCTGCCGGAAGGGGAGAAGAAACCTGTTGATGAAAGGCTAGAAGGGATAGTGAACAAAATGTTCCAGCGGTGCTTGGATGACCACAAGTACAAGCAGGCCATTGGCATTGCTCTGGAGACACGCAGGCTGGACATCTTCGAGAAAACCATCCTTGAATCGGTATGTGCAAGAGACAGGAGGTGCATGTAGCTAGTCTTTTCCAGGCGTGGATCTGGAAGTGAAGTGCAGGTTGCTGTGGAACTTGCCCTGTTTTATATGAGCAGAATAAAAGATGAAACTTGGGGGTGAGTTTATGCAAAGGGAGAACAGAAGTGGGGGTGTTTGGTTCAACTTGTTCATGGATGGCAGAGACACTCAGGGCTATCAAGTGTAGAGAGATCCAACCTTTAAGAATTCCCTAAGCTCCATGTTGCTGGGAGAATATTCCCAGGCAGCCTGGCTATGTGTCCTGTTCTTTAGTAATCCCTGTCAGCTACTAGCAGGGATACAACACTGGGCTAGGCAGACCTTAAGTCTGGCATAATGTAAGTTACTTTGTTGTGCCTGTCATCTTCTGTAATTCACTGTGGAAAGGAATCCTTATGGTTAGGTTAAGTGATTTATTTATGGCAGGTAAAACAAGATAAAACAAAAAAAACAGTAGTGGGTCATCTGCTTTCATTTTCAGTAAGCAACTGTGTGGAGCCTTAGTCTGCCCTAACTCCAAGGCAGTACAGTCTGGCTTTAACATCTTTCACTGAAGGTTTAGGTCATGTTACCTGGTAAAGGCAATAAGAGAAGTGTGTCTGTAGTCATAGAATGGTT